ATCTGTCCGAAAACATGGTCTCCAAAGTATCTTTGTTTTTCTTCTTCTTGTGTGGGGCATCTAGTTTGCTGGGCTTGGGCAGACAGATCTTCAAACGAAACTACAGCGGGCAGCGGGGGTGGGAGTGTCCAACAGGGAGGCACAGGATTCCCACCGAGTCATGGGGGTGACCAGGGAAGGCTTCTCTGAACAGTGGGTAGACACTGACCAGGCAAAGGAAGGAGGGAGAGGCATCTTAAAAGAGGTAACAAGCGGCCGGGCCCGGAGCTCACGCCTGTAATTCCAGCACTTTGGGAGGCCGAGGTGGGCGGATCACGAGGTCAGGAGTTTGAGGCCAGCTTGTTCAATATGGTGAAATCCCGTCTCTACTAAAAAATACAAAAATTAGCCGGGCGTGGTGGTGCACACCTGCAGTCCCAGCTACTCGGGACGCTGAGGCAGGAGAATTTCTTGAACCCAGGAAGTGGAGGTTGCAGTGAGCCGAGATCACACTACTGTACTCCAGCCTGGGTGACATAATGAGACTCCGTCTCATTAAAAAAATAAATAAATAAAATAAAATAAAAATAAGGAGGTAACAGGCTGGGTGCAGTGGCTCATGCCTGTAATCCCAGCACTTTGGGAGGCCAAGGTGGGCAGATCACTTGAGGCTTGGCCAACATGGTGAAACCCCATCTGTACTAAAAATGCAAAAATTAGCCGGGCATGGTATCGGGTACCTGTAATCCCAGCTACTCGGGAGGCTGAGGCAAAAGAATCATTTGAACCTGGGAGGTGGAGGTTGCAGTGAACTGAGATCACACCTCTGCATTCCAGCCTGGGGAACTGAGGGAGACTCTGTCTCCAAAAAAAAATAAAGAAAGAAAAAAAGGGAAAAACGTGATGAAGGCGGTTGGGGGCTGGCGTTAAGAGAAGAAGGAGCATGGAAGGAAGGAAATGAATCTACCACACCCATTCCCCACCTGGTGTGCAGCCTAGTTCATCCCCGGGAGGAGCTGACATATGTGGGCTCCCAGTCCCTCCCTCGTGTCCACAACATATTTTCATGCCCCTCTGTCATTGGGAAGGCAGTGCCCACTCTGGGCTCTACCTTTTTTTTTTTTTTTTTTTTTTGAGACAGAGTCTCTCGCTGTGGTCCAGGCTGGAGTACAGTAGCGCAATCTCGGCTCACTGCAAGCTCTGCCTCCTGGGTTCACGCCATTCTCCTGCCTCAGCCTCCCCAGTAGCTGGGACTACAGGCCCCCGCCACCATGCCCGGCTAATTTTTTGTGTTTTTAGTAGAGACAGGGTTTCACCATGTTAGCCAGGATGGTCTCAACCTCCTGACCTCGTGAACCACCCGCCTCGGCCTCCCAAAGTGCTGGGATTACAGGCGTGAGCCACTATATGCCCACCTCTGGACTCTACCTTTTTATCTTCTTGGTCACTCCCCCCGTTCCAGCCACAGGGATTCTAGCCACAGGGGGACAGTGGTCTCTAGACCAGACATCCAGAATGTTCCTGTCCATGGCCAGCCTGGTGACATCACTGTGGATCCCGTGGCCCACAGCCACGATGGAGACATGGCCCATTGCCTCTTTGTAGAGACCAGTTTTAGAGGGCAGGGAGGGTCTACCCAAGAAGGCCCTTCACTGCTCTGACAGGCCAGTGGTCTGCAAGGTGACAGTCCCCAGGGAAGAGCCAGGGGCAAGTCTGGCAGCGGGAGGGACTCCAGAGTCCTGCTCTACACAGTTGGCTTTGAGTGAGACAGTTCACAAGGGAGCTGGAAGAAGAGTGGTGAGATGGAGGAGGTAAATAAGGTGCGGGCATCATGGAGGTCAAGGAAACAGAGCCCTGGGCTCCCGGAAGGCTGAGTTAGAGAAGGACTTTGAGTCACTGTGCCTGGGGTTTTATGAATTCATTTACCCACCAAGCATAATTGAAAGCAGGGGTGTGAAGAGGTATTTATACACCCATGGTTTCTTTTCTGGGCACTGAATGTGTTTCTGCCATGGACCCTGAACCATGCCATGGACCCATATACACAGCAGTATGATTCACAAGAGCCTAAAGGGGGAAGTAACCCAAAGGTCTATTGATGGATGAATGGATAAATTAAATTTATCCACGTATATGTGTGTACACACACACATGTGTACATACATGATGAAATATTACTCAGCCTGAAAAAAGAAATTTTAACATGTGCTAAACATGGATGAGACCAGGTATGGTGGCTCACACCTGTAATCCCAACACTTTGAGGAGCCGAGATGGGAGGAGCAGTTGAGGCCGGGAGTTCAAGACAAACCTGGGCAACATAGGGAGACCCTGTCTCTATTTTTAAAAAATTGTTAAAAAATTGAAAAAACTTTTTAAAAGGATGACCCTTAAAGGCATTATCCTCAGTTAAATAAGCCAGCCAGAAAATGGCAAATATTCTTACAATACCCCCTTTTTTTTTTTTTTTGAGATAGAGTCTCGCTCTGTCACCCAGGCCAGAGTGCAGTGGCATGATCTCAGCTCACTGCAACCTCCGCCTCCTGGGTTCAAGTGATTCTTCTGCCTCAGCCTCCTGAGCAGCTGGGACTACAGGCGCACGCCACCACGTCCGGCTAATTTTTGTATTTTTAGTAGAGACAGGGTTTCACCATATTGGCCAGGCTGGTCTCGAACTCCTGACCTTGTGATCCACCCTCCTCGGCCTCCCAGAGTGCTGGGATTACAGGCATGAACCACCACGCCCGGCCTACAGTTTTACTTTTAAGGTGCTTAAAGTAGTAAAATTCAGGAGACAGAAAGTAGAATGATAGCTTTCAGGGGAAGGGGAAACGGGAAATTGTTTGATGGATCTAAAGTTTCTGTTTGAAAAGATGCAACTTCTAGAAATGCGTCGTGTTGATGGTTGTACTACGATGTGAATGTACTTCATGCCACTGAACTGTGTAATAACAAAGGGTTAAAACGACACATTTTATGTTACGTATATTTTACCACAGTTAAATTTTAAAAGCCTTCCTGACAATAGCAGATTCTTGTCGTTTCTCAAAAAACATTGAGAGAACATTAAGAGAACAGTGAGACCAGGGTGAGAATCATTATAGAAAACACATACCTTCCTCTCCTGTATTTGAGCTTCCCTCACTTGACATAATCAACCATTTGTATTTTCTTGAGGAGGAATCAACATTGAAAAGGAAGTGAAAAAATATTTGCAAAAGATATGCACATCTCTGTAAAAAGCTTACACATTTTGAGAAATAGGTTAGCAGTGGGGTGTCTAAATATAATATTAACATACAAAAATCAACAGCTTTTCCATATACCAACATTAACTACCTAGAAAACCTAAAAGTGGGGAGATCACATGGACAGTAGAAACAAGCTATAAAACAGAATTATATTGACCCAAAATTGTACAGTATAGTCATGGATAAAATCAGAAGGGTTTGGCTGAGTTCAGTGGCTCATACCTGTAACCCCAGTGCTTTAGGAGGCCAAAACAGGAGAGGATCCCTCGAACCCAGGAATTTGAAGTTACAGTGAGCTGAGATCACACCGGTGCACTCCAGCCTGGGTAACAGACTGAGGCCCTGGCTCTATTTTTAAAAAAAACTCAAAAAGGTTTACTAACAGAAACACGAAAATGCAGAAAATGTGGCGTGAGATATACCTCAGAAAGGGTACTGTTTACAGTGTGACAGCTGAAACGAGGCCAGAGCATCGCCTTGTTCAACCTCAGATGGGAATGTACAGTCGGCCACTCAAATTTTTCACTCCTGTGTATGTCCTGGAATGACTTCTAAAGTGCCATAAATATTGATTTGGAGTTTACAAGCAAATTTTAGCGGTGAGGCGAATTTGCAAATACGGAATCGGCAAATAATGAGGACCAACTGTACTAACTTATTAAAAAGTAAAAGCCCACCAAATAGTTGAGGAGGGCCATTGATGTGGTTTGGATATTTGTCCCTGGCCAAATCTCATGTTGCACTGTAATCCCCAGTGCTGGAGGTGGGGCCTGGTGGAGGTGTTTGGGTCACGGCAGTGGCCAGATCCCTCATGGCTTGGGGCTGTCTTCACGATAGTGCGTTCGGGAAAGATGTGGTCATTTAAAAATGTGTGGCACTCCCTCTGGCTTGCTCCTGCTTTCGCCATGAGACATGCCTGCTCCCCTTTTGCCCTCTGCCATGATTGTGAGCTCCCTGAGGCTTCACCAGAAGCTGAACAGGCACCAGCACCATACTTTCTGTAAAGACTGTAGAACCATGAGCTAATTAATTAAGCCTCTTTTCTTTATAAATGACCCCATCTCAGGTATTTCTTTATAGCAGTGCAAGAATGGCCTAATACAGCACTCAAAGTTGACATTAGCCTTATCTGCATTGGGTTTTTTTTTTTTTTTGCAAGGGGAATGCCATTTTAAATTTCTGGTGTATTTCAAAAATGGAACTCAAAAGGGTCTCTGGCCTGCCTCTGATCAGTATCTAGAACCTTAAGAGACATTGGGAGTTTTGTTGCTCCTGATAAGCTGTTTCTCTCCAGCCTGGGAGATGTTTCCTCTCCCACTCTCCCTACTAACATTTCAGGGACACACTGTGAATATGCCGTTTCAGGTCTGGTCTGCTTATAACGGACTGTTGGATGGGAGAGGAATAAACTATCTTCTTTCAGTTGTTATTATTGAATTTTACCACAACAGCAAAACTCCTCCCTAATGATGGAATTAGTCAAGAGTCATACCTTGACTCTTGAGTTAACCAAGACTGACTGTGTTGATGATAACCATTAACTCATACCGAGGACTTTCTGGAATCAGACACTGCATTCCCTGTACATCATCTCCACGAACTTCCGTGGCCACCCTCCGAGATGGGGATCTACTTTCCAGATTTAAAATCTCCGAGCCTCAGACAGTTGAAATCACAGCTGGTCACAGTCTGAACCCAGAACCGATTTCAGAGGCCAAGTCCCTCCCCATCACACTAAATAAAGGACGAAGTATTTGTGTCAAGCCAAAAATCAAGACATGGGGCCCTGAAGTGCTTTATTATCAGAACTTATTGGAAGGGTTTCCCAGTTGCTTCCAGGCAGGTGAGTTCATTTGGGGGCCCAGTTCTTCAAATCTGTGAAGGCTTTTTCTTTCTAATGTCTCTTTAAGTCCCCTGAGGAGAAAAAAAAAAATCAAATGGGAACCCACAAGTTCAGATCTTTCTTCCAAATCAGGCAGCTCTTGGTAGACTTCCCAGTAAGGCTTCCCTGGGGTCATGACTTGAAGGTCCGTAGAAAGATCTACGATGATTTTCGTGCTTTGAAACGTATGGCAGGTTCTTCTAGGGAGCACCTCTTCAACAGACGAACAATCAAGAAACTGACCAAGGAGGAATGTGGCTCCTTAAAAACAGCAGGAAGAGCTTCTACCCAGAGCAGCATTTCACTTATTGCAATGAGGTCTTCCTGCCGAAGGCTGCAAAGAGGAGAAACACAAGTTATCACTGGGGGATTCTCGTAATATGTGCATTCAGTCTCCAAGATCCCACAGTCACCATATGATGAAAATATTCCCCAGTGAATTGATCCATTTATAAATTGGCCATCACCCAAAATCTCCCCACAATGAACTTTAGAGTGGCACTATCCAAAAGAAACATTACTGGAGCCACCTATGCAATTTAATAATATATAGCAGCCACTTTTTAAAAATTCTTATTTATATATTTTGAGACAGAGTCTCGCTCTGTCTCCCAGGCTGGAGTGCAGTGACGCAATCTCAGCTCACTGCAAGCTCCACCTCCCGGGTTCACGCCTTTCTCCTAGCAGCCACATTTTTAAAAAAGGAACTTGGCCAGGCACAATGGCTCACACCTGTAATCACAGCACTTTGTGATGCTGAAGCAGGAGGGTCGCTTGAGGCCTGGAGTTTGCGACCAACCTGGGCAACATAGAAAGACCTTATCCCCACAAAAACATTTAAAACACTGGGTACGAATGTACCACTGCACTCCAGCCTGGGCAGCAGAGCAAGATCGTGTCTCTAAAAAGTAAATAAAAATTTAAAACTGGTAAAAGTACTTTTAATAATAAATATTTTATGTAACCCAGTATTCCAGAATATCATCTCAACATGTAATCAAAATTTTAAAATACTGATATTTTATTTTTATATATATAATATGTATTATATATATATTATAAATAAATATATATATATATATATTTTGTGCTGAGCTTTTGAAGCCCAGTGTGTGTTTTATGTATTACAGCACATCTTGGTTTGGACAGGCCACATTGTGGCCAGTGGCTGCCATACTGGACAGCACTGGTATAAGAGGGTCCATCTCTCACTCCCACATCAATGTCCAATGGTTTCATTCAACTGGAAAGTGAAATTGGAAATCTCACGAAAGATGAAGAATTAAGAATGTGGTACGTTGAACTGCTGGGCCCACCCACAAGACATCGACACATGAAGGTGCAGAAGGGTTAAACCAGTTAACACTGAACAAAGGACAATGGATGTGATGAGTCACAGGCTGAGTTGTACCCCTCCACAGTTCACATGTTGAAGACCTAACTTTTAGTACCTCAGGATATAACTTCTTTGGAAACAGGATCATTACAGAAGTTAAAATGAGGTCATTAGGGTGGGCCCTAATCTTATTAACCTGTCCTTATAAAAGGGAAATTTGAACACAGAGACACCCACAGGGAAGATGATGTGAAGACACAGAGAGAAGACAGCCATCAGCAAGCCAAGGAGAGAGGTCTGGAATGGATCCTCCCCTCACAGCCCTCAGAAGGAACCAAGCCAATCAGCCTCTCAATCTCACAGTTTTAGCATGCAGATCTGTGAGACAATACATTTATGTTGTTTAAGCCCTCCAGTCTGTGGTACTTTGTTATGTAGCCCCAGCAAACTAAAACATGGGTTGGCTGGTGGCATTAGAACAATTTGCCCAGGAGAAGGTTACAGGCAGCCTATAGGACAATTGAAGATGCATTCTGCTTTCTGCCTGCATTGTGCATCTAGTGAAGAAAACAAACAAACAAACAAAACTATCAGTGATTCATGGTGTCATGGAGGCTCCCTCTGCACATGCCTTGGGGAGAGGAGAGGAGAGGAGAAATGGTGGGTAGTGGAAGTTCAAGCCTCCATCCCTTATTAATCTGTGTAATGGGCCAACACACCTCATTCCTTGGATTCCTGGCAAGTAGAACTTTCTCCACTAAAGTTTCTGACAAAAGGCCTTCTCCAAATAAGACCCAAAGAGACATTTGGGATTTATTGCCTCCTACTTTCTAGAAACAAATAGAAAAGGCAGGAAGCACAGCTCACATCATTGGTGGCTAGCTGAAGGAGTTTACATACCCTACCATGACCCTGGTATGAGTTGAAGCCTGCTGCTCAGAACCCACTGCAACTGTGTGTGTGTGTGTGTATGTGTGTGTGTGTGTGTGTGTCTGTGTCTGTGTCTGTGTCTGTGTCTGTGTCTGTGTCTGTGTCTGTGTGTTCTGCAATTCCAATCACAGATCTGCCTGCCACACAGTGGAGCCCTCTCTTGGACTCTGAATGCATAGCCCAGCAAAGCCAAGCAACTGAATCTCACCATCAGAACAGGTGACAGCAGCTCCATCAAAGCAGTCAGTGGTACATGAGATCAATTTGTTTTTTGTATTTCTGGGCTACAAAATGTCTCTTAAGTTTCATCATTGGACCTATTGAGAAAGGAGAAATCAATTGAGTTACGGAGATAAAAGAAAATTCCATACACCCATGCATGACCAGGCAACAGAGTCCCATGCCTCGGGCTAGGCTGGGTGGCTGGCTGTGCCATTGACTTTCAGGGTGTGTAACTTTTGCCATCTGTATGGGGATGATAAAACTTCCATGTGGTCCTTCAGCTGTGGTGAGGATTCTGTGAGGTGGAAGGTGAAGAGCACGCTGCATTCTGTGCCTGATGTGGACTGTGTACCCAATGGAGGAGGGATATCATCATCTCAAACCATGCCCCTATCCCCATTTTACAGGTGAGGAAACTGGAACATAGAGAGGACCAGTTCCTCTGAGGTCAGCTAGCAAGTGCATGGCAGAATCAAGACTCAAACTGGGAGTTGTCTGCTCCTTCAGCCCAGGACTTTCGTTGAAAGCCTCTGAGTCACCAGGGGCATTGATGACCTCTCTGCATGTCTCAAGCAACCCCACAAGGACTGTTTTTCAGCTTATAGTTGAGAAGACCACCAGCCTGGACAACACGGCAAAACACCATCTCTACAAAACAAAAAGAAAATAGCCACACATGGTGGAGCACAGTCGTCCCAGCTACTCAGGAAGCTGAGGTGGGAGGATTGCTTGAGCCTGGGAGTTCAAGGCTGCAGCGGCAAGTCGTGATCATGCCATTGTACTCCAACCTGGGTAACAAAGCGAGACTCTGTCTCAAAACAAACACAAAACAAGGCTCAGTAGGACAAGTCACTTCCCTGTGTAGAGGGGACAGGATTTCAACCCAGGTTGTTCAATGCCACATGCTTGCTCTGACTCTTCCATCCACACCGTCAGATTACAGCCAAGCACTGACAGCAAACTCCCAAATGAAAGTACATTGGTAGAATCCAGTATCCCCACTCTGGAGTGAGCCCTTCCCTCATAGGGAAAGAGAGGCAAAAATAAAACTCATACAGAGAATAATTTCATGTTCTGATGCTTTAAAGAAGACAAGGTGGTATAATGGGGGTGACAGTGAGCTACAGGGTGAAATATTAAGGACAATGGCAAGCCACTTAAGCCAGCATGGTCAGGGAAGGCTGAAACCATTCCTAAAAACTTTATGATATTAATCAGAGAAGAAGGGAGGGGGAGAAACTAAAATCAGCCACACTTAAAACACACTCAACATTCATCATTAGGTCGGTTTGCTCTCTTACCCCTTCCTCATAGCTAGCTGTCTGCCTATTGCCCCAGAATCACAAAAAAAAAAAACCCAGTCACAAGATATAGTTCCCCTTAACTGCTCTACAGATAACATATTAAGCATTGTGAAAGGTTAAGTTTTCCACTTGAGATATCTTTTCAAGTCCTGCATACCAGTGAAACTCCTGATGCCCACTGATCTGAAGGACCCCACAGGAGCTGAATTACCAAAGAATGCAGCTTCCACATCCAGATGATTTCATCCCCCTTACCCGAACCAATCAATGACTCTAATTTTCCAGCCCTTCACCCCCAAAGATCCCCTTAAAACCCCAGCCCAGAATTCCTCAAAGAGAGATTTGAGGGTTCTTTCCGTCTCAGTTGGCTTCCCTGCAAGGGAATTTAATTTCCTTTTTTATTTTTATTTTTGTTGTTTGATTTTTTGTTTTTGAGACAGGGTCTCCATTGCTTAGGCTGGAGTGCAGTGGCATGATCGTGGCTCACTGCAGCCTTGACCTGCCCGGGCTCAAGTGATCCTCTCAGCCTCCTGAGTAGCTGGGCACATGCCACCATATCCAGCTAATTTTTTGTATTTTTTTGTAGAAATAGTATTTCACCATGTTGCCCAGGTTGGTCTCAAACTCCTGGGCTCAAGCAGTCTGCCCACCTCAGCCTCCCAAAGTGTTGGGATTACATGCGTGAGTCACTGTGCCTGGCCATAATTAAACTCTGTCTTTGCTGCATCCCCTGCTGTCTCAGTGTATTGGTATATTAGTGTGCAGTGGGCATACAAACCTGGTGGTCCTGTATCAAGGCTGCTCTGAGGAGGAAGAGGCCTGTAGGGTGAGACCTGGACCATGAGAAGGAGCCATCCAGGCAAGGAATTGAGGGGGAAGGGTATTACCAGGGAGGCAGACTGGCAAGTGCAAAGGCCTTATAGTTGGACAAAGCCCAGAGAGCTGCAGGAACATCAAGAAAGCCCATAGAGTTGGTGCAGAGTGAATGAAAGGTCAGCAGGAGAGAGATTGTGTAGAGCTATAGTAAGGAGTTTGGATTTTATTTCCAAGATGAGGAGCTGGGGACCAGTTAGCTAGAGGTGGCAGCATCCCTCTCCTGGTCCCTGGCTGGTCTCATAGACCCTCTGACCTTCAGAAAAGGACCCGTCTCTTCAGAGCCCGCACAGTCCCGGATGCTAACAAGGGACCAGTCTCCAAACGTCATGGCCACTCACCTAGCTCTCCACCATAGATGGAAAAGTCCTTCTCCAAGATGACCCACTTTTGAATCTTCTGTGTATTGTTCATGGCTTCCTGGTTCACAGCATTGATGCCTTGCTGGATGGCCTTGTAGACCAGGGGGTCTTGCTGCTTCACAATCTCAGTCACGGTGGATGCCTGGCTTCCCAGACCCCGGCAGAAGTTGATGGCCTCCAAGTTCAGCTTGTCCAGAGGTTCTCCGCTCATCTGATTCATCTCACACTGCCCCCGGACACCTCTGTCACCACACATACTCCTTGACCAGCACCCCTCCCCAGGCCCACAGACCAAGAAGTGGGTCTTGAACCCACAGGTGCATCCTCTTGACCCTGGGGTGGGGCCAGGGAACGTAAGAGCGGCTGCAGAGACTTCCCCCGATGACAGAAAACCCATGTTACCTTCAGCGTCAGCAACATGCTCAGAAACTTCAGTTTATCTCCTACTAACATGGCGTTACTGATGATGGGGATCTTCCTCTTAACCAAGGTCTCAACGGGAATGGGGGGCACGTTTTCACCACCAGCAGTGATAAGGATTTCTGGAACAGAGCTTGACTTGGTACACGTCCAGCCATGACAACGTGGAACCCCCAGCCCCTTGGAGATCAGAAGGGCAGCTGCTGGCATGGCCAACACTCACCCAGAAAGCCCCAGAAGCACAGGAGGACCTGGCCCTCTTCCCCCACCCACTTTTAATTATCATCAAGTGTCCAAAGTTGTGACTCCCACTTGGACAGCATCTTAATAATTCATTTCCTATCTCCTGGTCCACCATGCCCTGGTTTTAGGTTCTTCCAATATGTCTTCCTTGAAAGATAGTGAAGCCTTTTTGGCCACACCTTGCCTGTCTGTTGCCTCCTAGTCACTTAGTAACCCCTTCAGAATGTAATGTAATTCCAGTCTTACCCCCAGGGACATGTGTAGTAACCCTAATTTTGGCAAACTCTGCAAGAATCTCCCTTAGTTTCTCAGATTCTTCAACAGCGTCTCCTCCTGCCCCAGACCCACTGGTCACTTGTTCTTTCATCCTAAGATGCTTCCCTCTTTCTGTCCCACCCACTCAAACTCGTTCTCCCTTGTCCCAGAGACTCACAAAGTCACCTTTACTGTGATCATTAATAGCAGTAAGAATAAATATGACCATGAAATGGACGTAAGTGTGTAACGCCTTCTTGGGGTAAGAGTACTGAGTGGGAACTACTCTTCACTTTTTAATGTGGTTTGGGTGGGTTGGACTGCAGGGGTGAGCATGTGACCAGCTCTGACCAATCAGCATATTTCACCCCTTACAGTGAGACATATCTTGACTCGAGGATCCAATGAGAGGCCTAAAACGCTGAAAACAATGAGAATGATACACTCTAGTCCCCTTGCGGGGTTAGAGGTCAGCCTAGACTGTTGGTAGCTTTCTTGCTACCAGATGGCAAAGTTTATTTAAGAATAGCCTTTGGGAGGCCGAGGTGGGCGGATCACCAGGTCAGGAGTTTGAGACCAGCCTGGCCAACATAGTGGAACCCCGTCGCTACTAAAAATACAAAAATTAGCCGTGTGTGGTGGCGTGCGCCTGTAATCCCAGCTACTTGCGAGGTTGAGGCAGGAGAATCTCTTGAAGCCAGGAGGCAGAGGTTGCAGTGAGCCGAGATCGCGCCACTGCACTCCAGCCTGGGCGACAGTAGGAGACTCCATCTCGAAAAAAAAAAAAAAAAAAGCAACAGCCAGGCACAGTGGCTCACGCCTGTAATCCCAACACTTTGGGAGGCTGAGGCGGGTGGATCACCTGAGGTCAGGAGTTCGAGACCAGCCTGACCAACATGGTGAAACCTCGTCTCTACTAAATATACAAAAATTAGCCAGGTTTGGTGGTGTGCGCCTGTAATCCCAGCTACTCGGGAGGCTGAGGCAGGAGAATCACTTGAACCTGGGAGGCAGAGGTTGCAGTGAGCCAAGATTGTGCCACCGCACTCCAGCCTGGGTAACAAAAGTGAAACACCATCTCAAAAAAACAAAACAAAATAAAAAAGAACACTAGTGGCCAGGTGCAGTGACTCACACCTATAATCCTGCCACTTTGGGAGGCTGAGGTGGGCAGATCACTTGAGCCCACAGTGCTAGACTAGCCTGGGTAACATGGTGAAACCGGGTCTCTGCAAAAAAATAGTGGGGTGTGGTGGCATGCGCCTATAATCCTAGTTACTCAGGAGGCTGAGGTGGGAGAATCACCTGAGCCTGGGAAGTCGAGGCCACAGTGAGTCATAATTGGAGACTGTATTCCAGCCTGGCCAACAGAGTGAGACCCTCTCTCAAAAGTAAAACAGTAGCAGCACAGAGGAAAACTCAAGAAAAGAATTTTAAAATTTCTTTTGACCTCATTTTGGCACCCAGATCCAGCCATGCCTGAAGCCAGCTAACCTTTTGGCCAACTGACCTTTTCAGTTATGTTGAGTCAACAGTTTTGCTTTTTTTTTTTTCCCCCTCAAACCTATTTAAACCCATCTTAAATGGGTTTGAGTAAAAAAGCACTGTGTTCTCCATCAGGTTTTGGCAAACTATGGCCCATAGTGGCCAAATCCAGGCCACTATTCAATTTTGTCTGACCAAAAGCTAAAAATGAATTTTACATTTTTAAGTTGTTGGAAGTCAAAAGAAGAATATTTTTGACACATAAAAATTATGACATTCATATTGGCAGCTGGCCACACCCATTCTTTATGTTTTTATGCTGTTTTTATGCTACAAATCACCGAGTTGAGAAGCTGCAACAGAGACACGTTTTGTGAACCCAAAAATGTTTGCTAAAGGGCGCTCTTCAGGAAAAATTGGCTTATCCTTGTTCTATACTTTCTTTAATCCTTACAACTCTGTAGATTATTGTCCTCTGAAAATGCTGAGGAAGAAAATGGCACTTTTTAACTCAAACCCATTTGAGCCAGCTTGAATGAGTTTGAGTTTACTTTTTTTAGTAAAACTGTTGGCTCAGTATAACTGAAAAGTTCAAAAGGTCCCTGGCTTCAGGTATGGCTGGATCAAGGTGCCAAAATGATGTCACAAGGAATTTCTTTATCCTTCTCTTACTGAGTTTTCCTCTGGGCTGGTGCTATTCTGAAACGGGCTTCAAGGCTTGTCTTTTGCAGGTCCATCCGCCTGAGGGTGGACCATGGGATACCAAGTGACCAAGGGGTAACGTTTGCTGGACAGGAGGATAGAGATGGGTTGTACAGACTGAGGTGTTTCTGCACAGCTCCTCTTGGAAGATGAGGAACTGGGGGTGGCCTTTGTGCTGGTACGCTGGGCCCTTAAATGTTCAGGGAGGGCCTGCTTGCAGGAGATTCCCAAAGAACTCAGCCCCTGGTACCTTTGATGCGGCCAGTGACATAGAGGAATCCCAGACTGTCCAGCTGGCCCAGATCCCCAGAGTGTAGCCAGCCTTCATCATCGATGGCCTCTGTAGTTTCAGTCTCACTTTCCAGGTAGCCCATGAAGATGTGCCTACCCCAGAGGCAGATCTCCCCAATACCATCCTTGTTCTGCTGGAACAGCATATTCTTGCACCCAGTCAAGATCTTGCCACAGCTGCCAGGGGACAGAAGCAGAGAAACTGAGGCTCATAGAGACAAAATCAGCCACCCAGCTCTGCCTGTATCTTCAGCCTAGGTACCTAATACTCTGCTCAACTACAGCAGGCTGGATATGCACCCGAGTGCACAGAAGGAGGTGTTTGCTGCAGTGTTTAATCCAGCGTGTCAGATTCCCAAAGGCTTTGTGAACCGGGAAACCCAGCGGTGGCCGGGTGCGGTGGCTCACGCCTGTAATCCTAACACTTTGGAAAGCCGAGGAGGGAGTATTGCTTGAGCCCAGGAGTTCAAGACCAACCTGGGCAACATACAGAGACCCGTCTCTACAAAAATAATAAAAAATAAAAGTTGGGCATGGTGGTGCATACCTGTGGTCCCAGCTACTTGGGAGGCTGAGGTGGGAGAATCACCTGAGTCCAGGAGGTCAAGGCTGCAGTGAGTAGTGATCACGCCACTGTACTCCAGCCTGGGCAACAGAGCAAGACTCTATCTCATAAAACAAACGAAAACAAAAAACAAAAGAAAATCCAACAGCATTTCAGGCTGTTTTTTGTTTTTGTTTTGTTTTTTTAAATCTCCACATATGCAGGCAAAGAAAAAAACGCTTTTGGCTTAAGGATAGGAAAAAAAACCCCTCATTTTTAAGAAAACAGACAGGTAGACCTCTCTGCAGTGATTCAGACAGCTAATTTTAAGTATGACAACCAACTACAATCTCTTTAGAGGTAAAAGTTACTTTCATAAAACAGAGTAGCACTATTTGAAATCTGGATTCTTCTTCTTACTTTTTTTTTTTTTTTCCCCCTAGAGATAGCATTGGCCAGGGTAGTTCTAGGATGCAGGAAAGGAAATATTTTCTCCTTGTGTTGCTGAGATCTCTTTGATTAACTGTTAGCAAGGCCAGTGGTCCCAGGGTTAAATGTAGGTATTCCCCCGGTTAGCAAAAGAAAAAATGGAGACAGACCTGAGAAATTTAAAATTTACAAAGAGCTGCCTTATGATTTCCCCCACTGAAACTTTTTTAGGTATGTAGAAAAATCCAGAAGCCATAAAAGAAAAGATTGGTAAGTTCAACCATCTAAATTTGTGACCACAAATTTCTGCAGAGTAAAAAACATCTTAACTAAAATCAGAATGCCAATGACAAGCCAGGGAATAAAATATTTGTAACTCATATGAAAGACAAAGGGCTGATTTTCCTAATATGTAAAGAGTGCCAACAAACCAATAATAAAGGGCCCAATAATCTAATTTTTAAAACAGGCAGATAATATTGACAGATAGTTCATAGGAAAGGAAGTACAAATGACTTTTAAGTATATGAAAAGGCTGGGCATGGTGGTTCATGCCTGTAATCCCAGTGCTTTGGGAGACTGAGGATTGCTTGAGTCCAGGAGTTCAAGGCCAGCCTGGGCAACATAGCAAGACCTCATCTCTACAAAAAATTTTTTACAAAATTGCCAAGCATGGAGGCTTATGTCTGTAGTCTCAGCTAGTTGGGAGGCTGAGGCAGGAGGAATGCTTGAATCCAGAAGTTTGAGGTTACAGTGATCTATGATTGTACCATTGCACTCCAGCCTAGGCAACAAAGTGAGACCCTGTCTCTAAAAAGATTTTTAAAATAAATTTTAAAAAATAAACATATATATGAAAAGATTTTTTTCAAACCTCACCCATGCTAAAAGGAGGGAGTCAGGGAGAGACACAACCAGAAGATTCTATGACTATGACTGCTGTCAGATGGGGAGTTGGACCTGAATTTGGTATTCTTAAAGTTTTCTTATCATTGGGTTCAACCTTGCAGCCTAGGGCAAGCTGAGCTTGGGAGAAAGCCAGGAATGGGCCATGGAGGTGTTTTGAGATGGGGGATCATGGGGATGAAAGGTGCTGAGGTCACAGGCGGGGTGAACTTGGAGGCAGAACTCACAAATGACAAACGGGGAGACCATGGAATGTTCAGAGAGCCATCCCCCTTGTCTGTGGGCTCTCTGACCATCCAGGGTTTCCCATGGTCATGCAGAGTTAGGAGTTGGAGGCTGGAGAAGAGGATCATTCTGGAGACACCACGTCAGGATTCTTCTTAACCCAGAGGCCCATCTATATACCCACCTTCCCCCTCTTGACCCCATGTTATGGGAGGAGCAGGGGTCTGCCCCGGGGGCTGGTACCTTAGAAGCCTGTAGTTATTCTGGTTGGATATCGTGTGGGGTCCCGAGCTTTCACTCAACCCATACAACTCGCCTATAGGTATGTCCAAGCTTAGAAAGAACTCGGCAGTCTCTTGGTTGAGAGGCACAGCCCCGCTGATGAAAGAGTGACAGTGATCCAAGCCAAGGGACGTCTTGACTTTGCTGAACACGAGAGTCTTAGCCACGCGGTAGCTCATGGGAGTATCATATTTCCTGTGAATAAGAATGCCATCAAGTGGAAAGGGGCTGATGGGACCCTGTGGAGAAGGCTGAGCCTCCTCATCAACTACCCTCCCAGCCCTCTGGATGCTGCACCTACCCCAACATCTTCTTTGAGTTGACCTTGAAGCCAATGTTTCTTGCCCACACGAACACCTTCTTCTTCAAGCCTGTGGACTTGGCACTATTTTTCTTCACTGTCTCATGTATCTTCTCCCAAATCTGGGGCACTCCCATGAAGATAGTGGGTTTTACCTTCCGTAGAGTATTTACCAAGGTGCCCTGTACGTAACGAAGCTAGGTTAGCCACAGCAGGGCCTTCCATGCACCAGGGATGTCCATCTCTCCTGATCCACCCAACTCTGCCCAAGAGAACATTCCTTCACCGATCAGATTATGCAGGGCTCCCAGCCCAAAGGAGACAACCCACTGGCTGGGTTGGCCAATCAGATTTTTGCACTCTCTCTAGGGATTTGATGAGAAGCATAAACTGGTAAGATATTTTTGGAAGGTAACATGACAGTACTATTAACATTTTAAATGCAACCTGTCAACTTCACTTCTGTGGGTGAAGGAATTCAGCTGAAGGAAAGACTCAGGCACACAAAGAAACACATTCAAGATGTTCTTTGCAACACTGTTTTGTAACAGAATGGAAACAGCTTACAGGTTCAATGACAAGGGGTTGGCTAAAGAAACTGTGGTCCAAGCATGCAGTGGAATGTTGTACAACTGTTAAAAAAGGATGCAAGATTCTCCCCCAAAGAGACCTATAGGTTCAATGCAATCCCTATCAAAATCTAGGCAGGTTTTTGTTTGTTTGTTTTGTTTTGTTTTTAAATACAAATTGACAAGCCGACTTTAAAATTTATATAGAAATGCAGAGGATCTGGCCGGGCACGGTGGCTCAAGCCTGTAATCGCAGCACTTTGGGAGGCCGAGACGGGCGGATCACAAGGTCAGGAGATCGAGACCATCCTGGCTAACATGATGAAACCCCGTCTCTACTAAAAAATACAAAAAAATAGCCGGGCGAAGTGGCGGGCGCCTGTAGTCCCAGCTACTCGGGAGGCTGAGGCAGGAG